TGGTTTTTTTTATTTTATTTATACAGCGGTCTCCCTATTATCGATAATAGGTATATTAGTACTTTTTAATTTGGGTCAGACCAAACCTTCTTTCGCAATTATTTTCTAAATATGTCTCCTTTTCTTTATTTAAATAAACTTTTTTAAATGTAAAAAATGGCTTTAAAAGTCTAATATTATCGTAGCAATTTCGTTATAAATGTTTAATGAAAATTGCAAGAAAAATATGATACTTGGATTTAAAAAAAAAAAGGAAAGATAAAGTACGTCTTTATAAAGTGTACGTTTAGTTTTTTTTTCCTTAAGTATGCTTTTGTTAATATTAGAGGCAACTTTAAGGTTGACGTGACGTTAATTGACTTTATCCTTAGAGCAGTGGTTCTCGATCTTTTATATGCCAGTCTTTCGCAGTCGAATCAAATTTAGAAATTATGCAAATTCTCGAGGTGAATCGCCCTTGTCGAACACATTAAAAACACTAAGATTTATACAGCAATGATAATTAACGCATTTCTTCTTCACGAAGTCTTTCTATAGAATTTCATCTCTTCACGTTAATTATACATTGAGTAATTAAGTAAATTTATTTTAAACCATCTTATATAAGGAATAGTGACATTAAGGATGAATTAAAGACATTGAAATAGTGCTGTAAAAGTAAATAAAAAATATAGAATAATTAAATCTACTATTGAAAATATGTACATATTTTTATATATTTTAAGTGAGTTTAGAGTTAAAGAGTTTATTTTAGTTTTTCAGACAAACAGACAAACGTTCAGGCAAAACGAATACAAAATTTCAGTTTTAATTTTTCCGATTATCAAAAGATAAACTTAAAATCCCCAAAAGAAAAGGCAAAATTTGCATCTAAATATCTGAAAGAAGCGCAACTTTAATATGAAACTATACGAGAAGAATGTCTGTCACAAACGCAATAATCTTAACAATATACAGCATTGATTCTCAACCCTCCTGAGGCGGCGAAACTGCCAACTTCTGAGTCTTACAATTACAAAGAAACCTCAAGAACAGACATACCGACGGTTAAATTGAATGAAGAAACAAGCAAAAATTGCTAGAAATAAGCCTATGTATTTATACAATCAGCACTTTACGAGGTTTATAAAATATATTTATACGATTAATAATTATATATAAATATATTTTAAACTAGAAACTGCCTGAATTCTGACGAAAAATTAATTCAAAACTTAACCAATATTAACTTTTCCACACGTGATTGCTTCACGAGTAATAGCATGAAAATGTATGTAATTTCCGGTTAACATAGAGAAAATAATTACCACACAGGGCATTATTACGACGATATTAGTTTTAAGTTGCAAAATGAATCGATAAAACTCTAGAAATGTTATCATTCTCCTAAACAGCGAAGAAAATAATTTTAAAATCTTAATACGTCACGTTAAGCAACCCTCTCCATCTAAGCTTACAATGTAATTTGTTTGCATGCGATTATCGAAATCCTATATAAGAGCCATAATTCCTCATTATTTTCTCTTGATATCTCTTCTATCTCCTACGTGTAAAGGAAGTTTATGAACTTACTTGCTAGAATCTTACCACGATTTCTTCCTTGATCAAAAATCTCTATAAAAAATTAAAGTTTTTAACGATTTTTCCACACTTTTACGTGGTTTCTAGCGATAGATTCGGGTATTTTACGTTGAGATGAGCGCCTAACGAGACTAACTTATCAAATTCCGTTTCTGTTTTTAGTTGAAGTTCGGACATGGATCGATCGTATCGATCAATACGATTGTGGAAACGGAAAGGAGTTATATGGCCAGGTATGGTGGCTTAACTGTATCCTGAGAGATGATGAAGATTCCTGCTCGTCCATCATCGTCTCGCACTGTCAAAATTCCTCCAAGTCTTCCTACTGTATAACGTATCTAAATAAATTAGAAGAATTGGCATCGAACCGCGTAATTGGATTGAAATATATATGCTGTAAACTCAATATCAAACGCCTATAAACAATGACAAGTCACTTATATTGTTTAGTTTTATATTTCCATAATAAATTAAAGGAAATTTCCTTAAATTCTGCGGATATTTTCAACGTATTTTAGAAGATTTTGTAACCCGAATAATCGTATTTAAGAGGAGATTCTTTAATTAAAAGTCTAAACATTCTTTCGAAAAATCTTCTTTAAGATTAGGAAAATCTGGTTAGGCCATTCTAGATAATTTAATTATCCTTAAATCTTTCATCTTAATTTGGAAAAATCCTCATCCTCTTCCAGGAATTTTATATGAAGATTAACGTAGAAACTTTATGTAATCCTATATCTAAAATAATATTATAAAAAATAATAAGGAAGAAAAATATATAAAAAGAATAAATTTCCTAATGTATAGGCATAGTAGAGTGGCTTTTAAATGAGAATAAAGCTAAATATTATGGTTGAAAGAAGTGAAATTCCAGAAAAGTTAAACGATTTTGTGATGTTGGACTCACAACTTTCTCGTATAATAATGGTGATTAAGATGCCTTGGAATTAAATAAAAGGAGAGAGAGAGATTTTTATTCACGTACCGGAGGATGCCATTTGGATATGTTTGATGCTGGCATTTATCGATGTTAATTCAGCCGAATGCATTATCTATTATACCTTAACTGCCATATCTGTCATCTTATCAGATATAAACGAATTCGCACCTCCATTTTAAATCGTTCCACTTCCGGTTCTGTATGGTCGTTTGCTAAGCAATTTCCGTCAAGGAATAACAAGATAAGTCCGAAGAGAACAATCTGCCATTGCACAGATGGATTTCCTAAATGCGTTCTGGATTGATTTTCCCGATAATCCCTTCCTCTTCTTTTTCCCCCCTTAAAATAAATTTAAAAAACACACACACACACACACACAAAAGGGTGAGAATTTATTAAAATTTACACTTTTATTTATATTTTAAGCTCATTTTCCGTGCGTTTAAACGTTATAAATGAGTCGAAATTGCTGCATCAATCGTATGTTAAGGGGTCCATAGTGTCGAAGAATCGAAAGACGGGTGCATGTAACATGCACCCGTCTTTCGACCCCTCCACTAGTTAATTTTGATATTATTCTACTAAAATAATCATTATTATAGCTTTACATTTTCGAATAATATCAAAAAAATAAGTCAATTCTCCACTTCATCGAATTTTTCCGATCTCTCGACTAGGAAAAAAAAAGAAAAAAATTTCCCCGGGAAAAAATAGTTCGTTTATTAACCGAGAGGGGACGCTGAACTCGAATCATCTACCGAATCTTACCTGAGACTGTTTCTATGACAACCAGTTTCACTGACCGAAAGTGTAACGAAAGGTTCAATAAAAAGAGAAGAAAAAGCAGATGCAAGAGAGAGAAATTTTGCAGGAAGGTCCTTCCTTCGTCACCCCAAAATTAAAAAAAATATTAATAATAATAGTTAAAATATACGCAATTGTCTTCAAATTTAATAAAAGTATTAGCACTCCTCTCACTGCATCAATGCAAAGGTATCGCATTAATTAATGATTTCCTTACCTTTCCTTCCATTATTAATATAAAAGAGATTGCTCCTGCTCCTTAACCGGTTATTTTAAACCTTAACAAACACAAATGTAATTAAATATAAGGTAAGAGCAGGGCCTCTCTTACATTCTTGAGGCCCAGTATAATAGAAGGTTATCCCTTAATATACAAAAATGAGTAATTCGTAACAAGTGTTTTTGAGGCCTCGTAAAAGTGGGCCCTTTCTAAAAAATACGGTTTTTCTTTTATCAAGGGCCTAGTAGAAAGGGGGGTAACATCTCATTTTTTACAAAGTTATATCGTTATATTTAGATTTAGTTGCAATTCCATTTCCTTGAAAAACATATTAGATATTTTATTTTCTTCTAAACTGAGGAAGAAAACAAAAGGAACAGGGAAGGGAAATGTTTTTATTTCTTGTATTAAATTCCTTTTTTCAAGTTTGTCTTTTCTTTCTCCCTATGCAAGCTTCGCTGGAACAACAACGATTGATTCATTTTCTATTCTTTATATTGAGTTGTATTCTCGTGTATACAGAAAAAAAAAGAGCAAATGAATCTTATGTTTACAGCAAAACATGTAAGCAAGCTTATAAATAACTTATGATCTCTAGAGAAGAAAGAAAGAGTAAATATTTTTACAATATCTATATGCAATTATCCTTTAATAATGTCATGTATAATACCTTAAGCACCGCCGTATTATGTAGAGATATTTAGTTTTGCTTATGTTTTTGTGTGGTATATAAAGTCTATTCCATTAGTTTCAATTGGAAAATCTTGTATAAAGTGATAAGCAAGGTTGAAAGCAAAGCAATTATGAATTTTGTTTACTTTACTACATGGTAACTTTAAGTACAATAGGGAGTAGAAACTATTATCTCTTCATTAAATTAATTCTTTTGTATTAATTCCAATTTATATGAGTAAGAAAATTACATATTCACTTTATTAAATTCTACAATTAGTACCGGAGTTTTATGTTTACTTATAGACACTCGGTGGTATATAAAATTATGAATCATATGCACTTAAGTAATTGGTTGGAAATTGGATTTTTCTTTCGATTAAACATTTAAAATATGTGAAGAAAGAATAAAAAAATAAAAACCTAACTAATTAACTCGACGTTTGTTATTTATGTGTGACGTCAGTTATGATCGTGACTGCGATTAATCAGAAAGAATAAAAATTGAAATCCTCTTTCAGAAGGTGGAGTAAATGGAATTAGATAAGTTGCAAAACCGCAGATTGCCCTGTTAACGTTCTTTCTAATTATTTATGATAGGGAGAGCGAAATGAATTATTTTAACTGAATTGTCACGTTAAGTCGTGTGTAAGAATACAATCTTAGAATCTACAGGTGGATTGATGGAAATACCCGTCTGGTGGGTGAGTAAATTTAGGGATATTCCAATAGAATACCCTATAATTAAAATAATATAAAGGCAGAAACAAATTAAAAACTCACTAGCGTGATCTTGGGCCGAGCAGTAGAGGGATGCCGTTGTAAGGATCCATAGGATAGGCCAAGAGATGTAGGACATCCACATCCTGATTTACCACGTGACTTGCACATCCATCGTCACTCGGGATAGGATGTGAGAGTACCACAAACTCTGGCAATTCTTCCCGGTCCCAGTTTATAATCGTCACCCTATTCTGTCACAGCGCCCTCTGCAACAATTACAGTCACCACGCGCTCCGACGGTGCTCCTTCCCGGTATGCTTTGCCTCGCTTTGCAGCCATTGGGCTAAGTAATTGTGACGTCAGAAAAGCAACAGGACAGACAACGGAAGTGGATCTGAAATACGAAAAATAAAAGAAAAATTAATGTCATTCGCATGCCTTTTGTCTTTCATTTTTTTTTTATTTAATTACTTTATTAAATATTTTAAAGTTATTATTATTTTTTTTTTTTGTTTTTCATTTGAAAATTAAAGCATTCTTTCTTAAATATACTCGTTAAACTAAATATAACTAATTTTTTTTCTTTGTTTCTAATTCAAAAATTACCGAAATTAAAAACATTTATGTAAAACTAATACATTAATTTGAATTTGGGGGAAAAAGTAAATAATTTTATTAATGGATGATTAAATCTATAATTGCTTTTTGTATTAGATTTCTGTTAAGTATAATTCTTTCATCTGTACAGAATGTATACAGAGGAATTTGATCTGTACAGTTTAGTTAGCTCAGCAAATATTACCATTGGAATAATAATGGAATCTTAACGTAATGTTCTTTTAGTTTATATCTAATAAAACATGAAAGTTATACTTGTATTCTCTGTAATTTTATATATATTTTACTTTTGATTGACAGATTCGGTTACACATCTCTATAAATACGTAAAAAAATACATCGAAAATCTCGAAATTATAATACTTTTATAGCTTTTTGTATCGAAAGTTACACTCGTATATATGTAATTTTACGTATATATCTATATTTGAATGATAAATCTGTATAGAAATTGTTGTAAATATATAAAATAACCCTCCTTGAATGCCGAAATTACGTATTTTTTTAGTCTTTTTCACGTACTGTACGTGTTTTAGTAACGAAGCTTCACTTCAATCTATGTAATTTCATATAAATATCTATATTTGAATGATAAATTCGTATAAAAAGTGTTAAAAAAAAAGATAAAAATACCGCTGAATTATTCATTTTTACAGCTTTTTTATAACGAAACTTACATTCGTAACCTTTGTATATTTGAATAATAGATTCTGTAAATCCTCGACAGCGTAACCTACGAAAGATTAAATTATATATATATTTTTAAAGCGTTTAAATTTTTAAAATAGCTATATTTTATATAAAAACAAAGATTTCATGTTAGGTCAGCCACCTGAACGCAATAGCAATAGATAACATTTGCTGCAAACACGTGTTCTTTGACACATGATGGACGTGTGGAACTTTAGACGTGTAATGATTTTAAATTACTTCAAATTCCGCTTTTATCGTATATAATTTAAATTATAAACCTAGTTAAAGTATCTTACGTAAAATATCTAATATATAACAGCTTATTCGATATATTTTTTTTAGTCTTAACCATTAAAAAAAAAAGTAAAAATAGTAAACAGGAATTAAGATTCTACTTGATCAATCCGTCAATTCTTTCATAAAACAAACTATCGAAGATATAAACAGTAAAATATTTTAACAGAGAATTTTGTGTATATAAGAAAATGAAAGGTTTCATTCGTGTACATTTCATTCAAGTGTAGTTTAGATTGGTAAAAATTATGGAGACATCTTAAGAAGTTTTTGGATTTATAGAAGGAGGTCGATTAAGAAAAAGGAAAAAAGAACATTGTATACATTCTAAGACTAAATTAGATCCTACATATTACAATTTCCTAATTATTTTGTTATGTTTTATTTCTAATTGAATGTAATTTCTGTGGTAAATTGCTTAGTGTTTATCTGAAGATAAACTCTGTTAAATAATTACTGAACAATTTCAAACAAGAACACTTTTAAATAAACAGAAAATACGGTAAATTCTCTTAAGCAATTCATTAATTGAGAAGACTCGATTCATAGGTTTATAGAGACTCCAAAAGTCATTCGCTCCATTGCATTTATGTAATTGATGTAAATATGTACAGTACATTATTCTATGTGTTAGAGCTTATATCTACATTATCTTGTCTAATGCATTATCCTATGAAATAGAGCTTATTTGTATAGCTCTATTGTGACAGAGCCTGTATCTAATAGTCATTTTATTGAATTTCTTGTCTTCCTAGCCTACTTCTGTTGTATTTTATTATTTTAAAACATATATAATATAATTTTTTAAAGCTGTTTTATTTAATAAACTAAGAGCATTAGAAAGACAATTGGACAGGACATCTTTCAACATCTGAAAGATCCTGATTAAATTATAAATTAATTTAGTATTTATTCTTGAAATAATGATTGTATGGATTTATATTCGCAGCAATACTAAACAGGATGGATAAATGGAACAGATATATGATAAAATAGAAAGGAAATGAATCAGATTCTATATAATAACTTTCCAGTGTTTACAAATATAACTTTGGTTGTTAACACGTGTTCTAGTTAATAAAATTTATTTTACTTTTATGCACGTTTTAATGATGTAATTAAAATTCATATTTTCAATAATATTATTTTTTTTTGAGGCATTGAACATGGGCATTTTCGCAACATATAGCACCACCTGTTGAGAAATATTAAAACTAGTTTCTTTTACAATTCTTATTTTAAAATGTTATATACATTTAGGTCAAAAGTCATATCATAAAATTAAGGTCAGTAAGTCAAAGGGTAGGGCTTCGTGTTTTTAGAATTTCTTCTTTGGTGGAGCAAAAATATGTTGTTATTATTATTATTATTTTACATTTTTATTCATGGAATTCAACAGAATTTTTATGTTTGTGAAAGAATGAAAATTTAATTGTAATTAAATGTAGTCTACTATAACATCTATAACAAGAACTCCAGTAGAATAGGCTTCCTGTTAGATGGGCATCACATTAAAAAGCCTGTTACAAATCTCGTTTATTAAGAAATTAACTCTTTATTTTTATCACATTATACTATTTTAATGCTTAATATATTGGCTCTTCAAATAGATAAGTATCCAGAGATGGAGAGATGATGAGTATAGTGTATCTCCTGACCTATGAGATACATTGAATATGCTAATATATTTCTCATTATAATAATAAATATTGCAATATTGTTGTTATATTTATAATATATATTTAATTTAGAATAAAATTGATAAATTAATATCAATAAAATTTTAATTTAAATATTAAAAAATAGAAATTTTATAGGACTATCTTTATGGAGAACGTTTTACTTCGACTAGAATTTATTTGGGAATTTCTACTGAAATCAAATTAGCGATTAAAATCATGAAGTGTAAGTATTTTAATGAGTATCGATCAATGTGTTAAATTTTAATAAATAATAAAGATTTAATCATCTAAAGATGCTTGCTCCAAGCCATAAAGATGAGCGAATGAGCAATACGTGCTAATCTGTACGTATTATTTCGAATTTAACATGCATTTTTTTCATATATTTTCGAATATTAAGTCTAATTCCACTTTAAATTTGAGGTTTAATTCTAGCCATTTAATTAGTTACCATTCAATTTTCTTCCCGAAAGTCCCATTTTAAGAATGGGTTGCATCTTAATACAGTATAAGCATTTACAGTTAGTTTTAATTATAAAATTTGAAGTTTACTTCAAGTTTTCTTCGTGAAAGTTCCATTAAAACAATGAGCATTCTCATTAAATTCGTACATTTACAAGAAGTCGTACATTTACTGGCTTATTTGTGTACGGTAACGGACCTTTCGTGAAGACTTTTATGGTAAACTGGCCCTTTTTGGGTGTTACAAACGTGAATAAGACAGGAATAATTCCACGTGACCAGCCCATTGGCGGTGCTCGAACCCACAACTAAGTGTTTAGTTGTTATATCTATTCGACCACTGGTGTTGTGGTACATTTACAAATAGCTCCACGCAGGTATTTAATTTTTAAATTCAGTCATAAATATTTTTAACACTATTTTATTTCAGTTAAAATATATAAACATAATATTATTATTATAGCTTGATCGATTTAAAAAAAAAAAAGAAATCTGTGCGCCACTAAAATGCATTGTTATGATGCGGAAATTCAAAATATGATGAATGGTCGATCGTATCGCAGCGCTCGTCATTAATATTTCGAATTTACTCGAATAATACAATACGTGAAGGATCGCTTAAACGTGAGAATGCTGACAGAATATAATAATAATAATATTAATAATAATATTCACGACATCAATAAAAATTCAGGAAAAAAACTCTTAGATAATATCTCTTTCGCGTTCTTTTAAATTTATATTTTTCATTTTTTTTATTTGAATAAAATATCAATTTACTAATATTTTTTAAATTATTAAACAAAAGATATACGTGCTACGACATTAGAAAATAGTTTATAAGTTGCTATGTGTGTATGTATGTACTGTATAGGCCTATATGTACGAGGTATGTAGGCATGCTGTGTGCTATGAGTTGTTATGGGCAAAGTAAAATGGAGCAACTAAGGACCGGAGCCAAGAGGGGCCTAATCCTACGACTTTAATCAAGACAGTTGACTCTTTTACTTACAAGTCAACCAAGGGATAAAGATTTCAAATTCCATTCTTTTGCGGCGTGGGTAAGGTTGGAAGGGAGAGGTCCAGATTAGAAATTCGAACCCCGAAGTGATGCTCCTTCTCTAAGTGTGTACGGATTTAATAAATACTGCAAAACTAAGAAAAGTTGTATATATATATTATAAGTGAAAATATCAATTTATAGGGTGGTGCAAATATTAGTTAACTATTGTAAACATTAAATTGATGTTTCATTTTGTAAATAGAAATGTTTATGTTTCATCTTATTCACAGGTGTATTTGGAACACTCAAAACAATACAGTTAGCTGAGTTTTGGGCACAATTTATATGTATTGTAAACATAAAATTAAACTATGTGCATGTAACTTATATATAGTTTAACTGTAAATATTAAAATAAAAGTAACTCATGGTTTGAACATTGTCATTTCTAGGCTTAGGCAAAATAATTAATTTGGTTCAGCCTGAGACCTGTAATTTTACAGG